AAACAGAGTTGACTGTATATTAACAAATGATTGTTGAATATTTTCTATATTTTTAGAGCATAGAAGTATATAAAGAGTATCTTTAGTTGATGAGCATTTACAACACTTGTTTGTTGTATATAAGTTTGGATAATGGATATTAAGATTTTGCATTGTATTTGTTAAGATTTTAATATAAAAGAAGTATTTGAAAGAGTTATATTCTAGAAAATTAAATATTTTAAAAGCTAGTTTTTAGTTTATATTTGAGATATAGTTGTTGAAGAATTTAAAAGAGGACCAGGATATAAGTTCTTCAATAGAATAATGTTTTTGATAAAAGAGCATGTTTTGAAAGTTATGATATGATTGTTTCAAAGGAAGTAAGTAAGAAGATTAAAATATGTATAAGAGATTTCAAGAATAGGTTTATCAGAGTTTTGTTTGGCTAGTAGATTAGCCTGATTATGAAAAGAGTTTTTTGAGTGTGATTTAACTTTAATAGAGATAATAGAAATATTTTTAGTTAATTTAATAGAGTTAATAATTGTAATTATATTCTAGTTTTTGTTTTGAATAAGTTTAGAAGGTAAAAGGTTAAGTAGGTTGTTGATTGCTGCTAGATTGTCAATAAGAATAGTGATTGTAAATTGCTGCATTAAATTTAATAGATAGATCATTTTTACAGATCCAGCCAATACTGGATTGTAGATTTGAAGTATGAGAGTTTTTAATAGAGATATCAGTATAAAACTGAAATCTTGATATATTTAAGTTTGTAATATTGTTATGTATTTGAGTTCATAGGTTTTGATAATAAAGAGTTTTGATAATATGATATATTAATTGTATTTTGTGAGAGAAAATATGAATTTGGGGTTGTTGTAAAGTAGAAGTTGGGGTTAGGTTTAGATTAGAAAAGAGGTATAATTTATTTGTAATGAAATTTAATTCAAAATTTTATTTATTGTTTGCTAAAATATTAAATAATTAAAAGCCAAATGTATTTTTGTAACAAGAATATCTATTTTTGATTCTTGATAGATTAGTAGTACTGCCAATTTGTTGTATATTTTTGATTAAATTTTTTTGTATATATATAAATATACTAAATATAATTAGAATAAGAAAATTGTTACTCAATTAAATTTGTGAATTTTGTTGTATAGTATAAAAAAAGTATAACATTGTTTTAAATTATAATTTTAATCTTTTTAAAATTTTCTAGAATCTCTGATTATAGGCAAAGATTTTTTAATTAGATATCTGGGTCACCTGATTATGTCCTAGTAATCTGTTTTGGTTTCAATAGGTTACAGATAGTGTTTCAAATTAAAAATTGATTAATTGATTAGAGTTGTGATATTTATTATCTAATATTCATTTACTATAGAGATCTACCCCATAATATTATTTAGCCAATCAAATTAAACTAATGTAAGATTTTTTTTTGACTCCCCACCTCTTAAAATATTATCTAATAAATATCAACACCCTTAATTAATTGAATTAGCAACTAATTAATTGATAATTTTATTAGATAACTAATTAGTTGTTGATGATTAATTGATTAACTGATTAATCAACTAGTTAGTTAATCAATTAGTTGACTAATTAACTGATTATTTTACAGTATGTGGTATACATCATACCTTGATCTTATATCCAAGCTATTTTTATATACCAACTAGTTGATTGGTCAGTTAATTGATTAATTAACTAATCAATTAATTGATTAGTTGGCTATAATTGATTTTTAATTGATTTTTAAAATTTTTTTTGACCAACTAATTGATTGCATTTTTTGGTCTGATTTGTAACACTAGTCACAGGTAGTAATTTTCAAACTGGTTTAAAACTACTTGCATACTACTACTTTTTTGATACTAATCATTTGCAGATCTCAGTAAAAATAAGAATTTTCAAAACTTCGAGTAAAGTTATCTTGGCAATCATCTGACTAAATTAGATAGACCTTTTTTATTTGAATCATACAGATTCATAAAATTTGAATAAAAAAAATTTTCATCAAATTTGATCAGAAGGTTGTCAAGATATTTTTGCTCAAAGTTAGATAAAAATCAAAATGCATGCAGTTGCCCTCTACATAATCACACTCTCTTCATAAGCAATTTATTTATTAAAAAAAATTTACATAATCACATTACTGTTAAAATTTTATAACTAGTAATAAAACGGCACATTTTATAGGGCTGGAGCCTTTCTTAGATTCTAAATTGTGAACTTAGTACTGCAGCTTATCTAATATTAGGCCATGTAAAATTAATTAATTGGTTTTCATAACCCGGCCGGGTCAAATTTTGAAAACTTCTAAAAAAAAATTTTAAATGTTTTAATAACCAGGTGGGTTTTAAAAAATTTTTTTTATATAAATTTTATAAAATTTTATATATGAAATTTAAAAAAAAAAAAAGCCGGCTGGCCGGGTCTATTTTTAAATTTGATGTTATGAAAACCAAGTAATTAAATTTGTATGGCCTTATTAATATAATAGATATTAAATTTCAATTTATTAATACGTATGTGTTAATCATTGATAATAAATTCTAATTCGGGTAGAATGTGTTAATTTAAACAACAATTCTATATGTTACATTAGTTAATACATATACAAACAGATGTAAGAATTCATAAAGTCATAAAGACCATTCTTCAGCCAATCTTTGTTGTAGACGTGTACTTTCCTAATTTTTGTAATCTATAATATATAAAAGTATTACTGAAATGAAGATCAGTAAGAGCATGAACTTTTGATATCGCAAGACTATAGCATCCTATCACCAATATCTATTACGGCTTGTGATCGTATAAGTTCTTTTGTGTTTTTGCATTGTATCTTAAATTACGATGAATGCAGAAAAATATTAATATATCGAACTATTATTAATTAGTTGGTTTTATATAAACATGTATTTTCTATTCAATGATTGTCGCAAAATACAATGGCCACCAGCAAACACAAAGGGTTCACTTTTTTTTTACTATTTTACTTAAACGAAAAAGAAGAACTTGCTTCTTTTCTTTATTTTCTTTAATATAAAATACATTTTGACTAAAAATTGATTACCATTAATTTTACTTATACTCTCTTATACTCTCACTGATTATTCATTCTTCATGTATCGCAGATTAATTTCTTTGAATTTCCTCCGGTCTTCCTTTACGATTCCGATTAATTATTACGATCAATGATCGTGACCATGCCACATGATTATGAGATCCGCCGAATATTTTTCCTTTAATTTAGCGTCTAAAGGTTCTACAGGGGATTGTCGAGAACTTATTACAATTACAGGGGCGGGAGCCGGACATCATTAAAACGAGTAAGGCTATAAGGTCTTCCACTTCGTTCCTCAGCTCCAGTCCAATCACCTTTTTTATGTTAAACAAATTGCGTGATTATAGAGGAGGATGACTATCAAAATAAAATCTGCGCAAATTCTTCTTTAATTTTGAGCTAAGATATCTCGGCAACCACCTGAACAAGTTTGATAAACCGTTTTTTATTTTAATCTATGGATCCATAGGAGTCGAATAAAAAAAAATTTCATCGAATTTAGTCAAGTGGTTATCGAGATATCTTAGAGAAAAATCAAAACGTAAATCAAAATCTGCGTCAAATTTTTTCTCTAACTTTGAGCGAAGATATCTCGGCAACCATCTGACCAAATTCGATAAAACCTTTTCATTTAAATTCTATGAATCCATAGAATTAAAATAAAAAACGTTTTATCGAACTTGGTCAGATGGTTGTCGAGATATATTCGCTCAAAGTTAGAGAACAAATTTGCGCTATCTAACTTTGAGCGAAATATCTTGCCAATCTTCTGATCAAATTCGATGAAAATTTTTTTATTCGAATTTTATGAATCCGTATAATTCAAATAAAAAAGGTCTATCTAATTTGGTCAGATGGTTGTCGAGATAACTTCGCTCAAAGGTTTGAAATTTCTTATTTTTACTGAAATATGTACAACGATCAGTATCAAAAAAGTAGGTGCAGGTGTATCAAAAATGAAAGTTTTGCCTCGGAGACCGGATAGATTGTAATAATTTTTGGGCCCTATACGTAATAATTTTTAACTTGGGTCTTTGTCTGTAATTTTTTTTTGAATTTTGGGCCCTTATTTATGAATTCCCCAAGATTTTATAATAAACAGTTCTCTCTCGTTCTAACTAGCTCGGTAAAACATTTCATTAAATCCGATACTGGTTTCAACTTGACGATACACAGATATGTACAGATAAAGTCATTCGGCCGAATTGATGAGTTACTGACGTCATTCGACTTATCGATTCGATTGAATGAAAAAAATAAATTCGGTCAAACTTTATGTACTGTTAGGGTTGTGTTACATAAATTACAATTTTACAATACACGTAAGTTTCAGTAAATAAGGTTTCATGTAATTTTCGTGAAATACCAGCTTTACGAAAGAATGGCCAACATTATGCATCATTTGATTTAAATATATTATACGAATTGTAATTCATCAAATCTCCGAAAATTTGATCTCAGAAACTAATATCTTGTGTTCAAAATTACAAATTACATGAAAAACTAATTTACGTAAAATTACACAAATTTTACATGTACAGTACAGTGCAAGAAATCCAAATAAAGCTTGATTAAACTAATATTAACTCATTAGTTTATAACCATATATGTTAGTTAAAATTAAACCATTGAGTTTATTTTGATACACACATGTGTGATTGTCACTAGGAACGTATTATTTTGGTTTAACTTGTCTCTAAAAAGGTTAGTCAGGTGAAATAGGGTTGATTTGACATATGATGGCGTTCTATTACCCTTTCAAAATATTAAAAAAGTTGTTAAAAATTGAGCTAAAAAAGAATGATTTGCAAAGATGCATAATAAGAAAATTTTAAATTGTAAAAGATTTTCCGAATAAAAATTTTTTTTTATAAATAATCGTAAGTAAACATTTACATCTTTCAAGTATGCTTTTTTTTTCAACAGTTTTTTAGAGATAATCATGCCCTCAGAACACGCACCTGAAGGACATGCGCCCGAAAGACACGCACCCGAAGGACACAATTCATCTATATCGGCGGCTGAAAGGTCTCTCATATATTCAATTATAGAAAATGTTTTGCTCATAATTTACAGAGTTTTCATGAACATTTTGTTATTCATAATACACATTATATCATACATAACTCATGAACTCTTGTCATCACCTGGAATCACAACTTCACCATACTATTTATCCGCATCTATCTTAGTAGATGAAAAATATGAACCAATTTTTAAATTTCTTTTAGTAGAACTATCACCAGTTATAACAATATTATATCCAATAATTTCTTATATGCTTCCATATGATATTTTAAAATCGTTTGATGATGATCTTGCGATAACGATACTTTCACCTGTGATACTTCATATAAAAAAACCCGAATATCATTATCAAGGAATAACTGATTCAATGGCTTCAATAATAAATAGTAGTTATAAGTTATTTCACGCACATTATTATGGTATAACTGAAGAAGAAGAAAAAAAAATAGTTGAATCACCTATGTTTAAAAAGATGAAATATGAAATAGAATTAGATGAAGATTTTGTTAATTCTATAGATATTTCTTACATGATTCCAGAATCTATAATGAATACATATCAACGTTATGCAGAACCTGAAGAAATGGATAGAAGTTCAATGAGACAATCAAGATCAGGTGAAGCAATAGCGGAAATTGTAACATC